AGATGAACATTCTTCTAGACTTCCAAAGAACAGATTTTAATGATACTAGAACAAAAATAACTTTCCTGCAGAATTTGTATTTCATTGCACAATTATTTTTTCAGTGCTCAGCTGATCTTTCAGTATTTCAGCAGAGGTGACTGTTCTAATACATTTTAATTTTAAACTCTCAAAGTTAGTGAGTGGCTAATTAAACCTTTAAGAAAAAATGCTTGTAGTACACATCCCATCTACTGAACTTACAGGACGTATAAATCTGAATACAAAAGCTCCATGTTTCCATGTAAATGCATTTCTTAAAGCCTGATCCTATCATCTGACTGCAATTAATAGATACTGTATGTAAGCCCAGAATAAAAGATATGCCTTCAAAACTGTAGGAGATAATACAGGAGAAAAGAAGGCTTCGTGCAGCACAGTACAACTAATGTGTTGGTTTGGTTTTTTTTTTCCAGCTCACGTGGCATCCTTGGGATTATTTTTTTCATGGTGTGCTAGCTTTGAACAGAATATTGCAGAGATGATAGATGGAAGTTGCTTAAGTGCATCTTCTTCCATCTATGTATCTCATTTACTGTTTTTTTTTTTTTTTTTTTTTAAATGAGGAAAATACTGTCAAGTTCATGCCGTATATATGTTACTACAAATCAAATTTTAATGCAGTGAGAAACTAGAGATGCTACAACAGTCATCATTTCAAAACAGTGCTTGCATATCTGAACATCACCAAACATATAAAAGTTTAATTGAAAGAATATGCTTCACATCATATTGTTGTCATTGAATTTTATTCTGAAATGTGAACTCAAAAGTATTTTTCCTTATGATTCTGACAGGTCAGAAAAGTGAAGGAAAGAAGTCATTATAAATGTTTTCAAAATCTGACTTGAGAAAAACATACTTTCCAGCAGGATAAAAATTTCAAACATCACTTACAGTTAACAGAATTAGCTCACTGCTGTGAGCTTTTATGCTCTGTTTCTTTTGCTGTGAAGTTGGTTGCAGGCTGACAAATGGATTCAACCCATAGTGAATACGTGCGCTCAGTCTAAGTGCTAGCAGATGGTGGCAAACCAAGCTTGGACCATGTCTGATTACAGAAAAAGGCTTGGCATTGGATGACTGATAGCTTTTCCAATTTTGTACGTCATCCCAGGAGAATGCATGTTTAGTTTCAGCAGTGTGTTTCAACATTTATTTAAGGTTCTGTGATTTTCGTTACGGTCTGGGAGAAGTTTGGTGTTGTTTCATGGGGTAGCTACATCCTAATGGCAGTTGTGCATAGCTTTAGAACTGGAAATAAGTGATAGGTCAAGTTACTACACTCAACTTTGCCCTTTTTAATGAAATGAATTAATTTTTTTTTTTATTTTTTTTTTAATGCTAGTTCATTTAGCTCTTTTTAGCTGTTCAGCTGTCACAGTGACTTCCATAAGGTAAGGGAGCTCTTGTTTTTGCAGAAGAATAGGCATAAAATACTCAGGGTGGCCATTTTGCTTGAGAACTAGTTTTTACTCTTCATCAGACTAGAGTGGCCTTCATATCAGTTTCTTAATTTCGTGATTTTTTTTTTTCATCTTGTCTATTACATGTACTATCAGAAATCCTTCTAAATAATATGGAACTGTATTACTGTTACAACGTCAATCCCACGTACATAAATCTACAGATTTTAAAGCAGAACGTTTCAAGATAATCAAAATAAGTGAAAAAGTGGTTACAGTGTGAAATTTTCTGCTTTGAATACAAATATTATGTATTCACATAAAAAAAAAAAAAAAAAGCAGAAGCTCTTTTTAAGTTTTTATTGCATTTCAAAGCACAAGAGAAATCTTTTATTTGACTTCTCTGTCAGTGCTGTCCCACATAATGGTGTCTCGATGCTGAAGGAGATAATGTGGTGTGAAACATGGGTGCCTGGTCGTGGTGGGCCTGCACACCATGTTTCTATTGGCATATTGTCTTCCTTTTGTGCTAAGTCTTTTTGTAGATCTTTTTGTAGTACAGTCTCTTCTGTACTGAATGACTGAAATGACTGAACCAGCCACAACAGCAGTAATAGTGTGGCAATCCTATGTGGAGCTGGAGTAGATCAGCTCTGTAATGTTGGGGGCACCTGTGGTATCAACAGCGTACCTGCTGGTCCAGGGAACTCTTCTGTCATAAAGGAGCTGGAAATTGGGTTTTCCTCACCTCTGGGCACCACCAGCATCTTGCATGTGTATGGCATTAAATTTACAATATGATACTGGTATGTTGTTACATTTGGTTCCCAACTTGTTGGGGGAAGAGAGAGATGCTGAAGAGCAGACTTCTTGGCCTCAGTGTGGTGTTTGTAGTCTGCTTGTGGCTTCCTTCTCTCCCTGTGTATCTTAGGGTTGCCTGGTAGGCAAATTATTCTAGTAGAAAGGAGCTCTCCTTGGTCACTGCCTTTCCCAGCAAGCATGGAGAAAGCAGATCATCCTGTGAAGGGCTGTAGGGGGAGGTCCCACGGGAAGCTTTCATTGCAGACTTCATGTGAGGATGAGCTATAGGTGGCTAACTATGCTGCTGTGGTACGCATACAGCAAATGGAGTGTCAAACAGCTTGAGGGCTCCAGGCAGCACTCTTGACCTGTGCATAAGTGGTGAACTTGTTGAGGATGCAGCACTCTTCTTGCTGTTATGCAGAGGCTCTGACAGCTCACATATGCAGCAGTGCTAAAGGATTCGTGGATATGATAACCCTTGCTTGCTAGCGGCCCTTGTTTGGGTTTGATTTCTGTTTTGTTTGTTATAGATCTAACAGCTGCTGCTTCTGTTACTGATGTGTAACATGAATGCTTTCTGGCTTTTAAGATGTTGCTGTGAACCACAGGTGTCAAAAAGTGTCCCTAAAAATTACATTTTCAGATTTAAACTTAACTTGTCCATATCTCAGTTGCTGCAAACCACAGCAACCTCTTCCATCCCCAGCATCTGTACTTTTGCACTCCACGGGAGATCTGAAATTGTTTTTTGAAGGATGCTGATCTTTTGCTGGTCCTTAAAATGAAAGTTGACTGCAGCATTTATAAAACTAAAGTAACTCTTTATGCGTACTTGGATTTCTTTCTGTACTCAACAAGGCTCTCAGCGCTTTCCTTATTCAATGGCATGACATAATTGTGTGTAGATTTAAGATTCACTTCTGATAAAACCCTCCGAACACTTTCTCTGTCAGATACTTCAATCTATGCAGTCTTGTCATATTTCTGGTTAGATAGATGGACCTCCTTATGTTATCATTGCAAAAGAACCCCAGGCCCTCAGAACAAGATTTGAAAAGAAACCTCCCAGGGATTATTCACATCAGCTTCACAAGGATGAATGCGAGCACTAAAACCAAGACTATGAGCAGGAAATTGAGCAGCAGGTTGAGACCTCTGTTGGTAGCAAGATCCATAACGTGCGCTGGTCTGCCCTCTTGTGCTAGCAGCACCCTCTGGGTTGTTTGCTCGGTGGTAAGCAATGCAGAGTCACACAAATTTCATTGTCTTCAGCTGTTAACCTGTTCTTAGTTTCTGCCAATTATGAAAAAAATTATTAATAGAAGGTATTTTTTTCCTTTCTAAAAAACAAAAAAAAAAAAACAAAAACAAACAAACAAAAAACTGAATGTTCCTACAAGCCTTCTTGTTTCTCCAAATTCCTTTAAAAAAGAAAAAAAAATTAATGAAAGACTTGAATTTTGTACAGATTGGCACTTTATTTATATACTTTTTCTATGAGCACAGCATTCTGCAGGACCCTATGATTTCTAACAGAACTCTATTCTCAGTGTTTACTCAGGCTTCCAGTCGTAGATTGTTGGAAAAATCATTTTTCTAAAAGATCTCTGTAGATGAAAACCACAACGTTTTCTGGGCAAAATGCACCTCTTTTAATTGGAGTATTTCCTACCTTTCTACGTTGTGGCATTGTGCACCGCGGTGTAGGTAGTGTTTTGCCAACAGTATGCTGCGTAGGACTCATTGCATCTTCACAACATGAATTCCACCTGAGAAGTCTAGATTGAGCTGGCAGAGTAGGTATCCATAGTGCTACTAATAGCACATATGCCATAGCCTTTTGTAAGATAATATCTTATTGTTTTTATGCAAAAATGTATACGTAGAAAAGAAACAAATATGACCAGTTCTCTCTTACACTGAAATGTTGCCAGACCTTTTTAATAATCTAAGTTCTTAGAAAAGATCACAAGAGGGCACTGTTCACTGTTCTATAGTTCTGTATGCTATACAAGATGGTGCTTCTGTGATTTTATCTTTAAGAGCGAACAAACAAAAAGAGCAACAAAAAAGAATCTTAGAAAGTGGTCAGCTTGACTGAACTGTCAGATACTACCACGAATACAGAGCCCATTTAAAAATGACTTCAATTGTCTGTGTTCTTGTGAAGATAACCACCAGTTTTTAAAGGAATTCTTGGAAATGTGTTCTGGCTTTAAGCCTTGCAGTGAGCAAGAGGTGTTCTATCATCTCTTTCCATGAGCAAAACTCAGACCTCCTTCAGTTTTTAACATCTAGTCAAAGAAGTTCAATGTTAAATATGATAAATATGATATCCCTGGATCCTGTAGAACATGGCAAATATTTTTATGACAGTTAATAGCCATATAAAGTTGGTGTCTGGCCATAATCTATCATGCATCAGTTTGCTTCCAGTTAGAAACAGGGGTACTTTCAGAATGAATGTGTTCATTGCACTGTGCTCAAATTGTGGTACAGCGGGCTTAAAGTACAAGACATGAGTGAATGTGTAATATGATTATTGTTTTCCAGGTATTCTTAAAAAGTTTCTGTGGAAGTTCTTTGTGCTCGGAAGCCAAACACTTTGAATTTTGTGGGAAGCTTTGTTAAAGGCTTCTCTACCTTTAAAGGCTGCCTGACATTGGTGTTGGACTGAGTGCCACACTTGGTAATGGCTACCTCTCATTCACGTAACTTTGATTTTTAAGTAAATAATGGGATGGATGCTTCTTTATAAACAATTGTTTGAATTTCTTCTTTTATTCAGTAATATGTTTTCACACAGTCATTTTAATAAAAATACAGCTGATGCCAGTTTGGAAGCTCTTACAAGTATACCAAGGAAAATATTATGTAGAAGAGCCTTTATCTCTGGGTTCAGTTGACATTTTGTGATGTGGAGCATGGGAGCAGTTTTTCAATATCAACGGAACACAGAGGTGCAAATGAACCTCACAGTACTTGCAATTTATCTGTGTTAATGTAAAATAACAGTAGAGCTTCCAGCTTATTTATACCATGGTTGATTCTTGTTTGCTTATTATCTTTAAATGATTAATGGCTTTTGAGGTACATAAGAAAAAAGCAGGTATTTTAATTTTTATAGGGAAGCTGTTTTTTCTTTATTTAGCAGTGCTCTGCTTTGATTACAGGCTTGTAGATCCTATAACTTCAAAACATGTCAGAATGTGTGCTGATAATTTACTCTTATCACCTTTTCTCTTCAGAAAGTTTTTCAGTACTACAAAACAATCAGTTATTTCCAGTAGAAATTTATTAAAATAAGTCGAAATTAATCTAAAATGCCTGTATGAGAAAAGCAAGATGGAAACCTTCCCATCACATAATATGGATTTAAAAATAGAAGAAAGTAACTTTTCAATTATTTCTTTTTTATTATTTTCTATTATTTGTATTCTCCCCACAGTAGTACACTGTGGCTTTTCTTTTCCTTCTTCTGTGTGGTAGTAGTGATAGAAAAAGTGCATGTATGGAAAATCATGATTTGTGAAGATGATCAGAATGCATGAAACAGGAATCGAGGTTTATATTGACAATTCTAGTCACTATGATTTGAAATGGGATGCGTGTGTTGCCAATTACATCAGTATTTGCCTTAATCCTCATACAGTAACTAACTACATCTAGTGACTAACCTTACTTCAGAGATCTGCTCTTAGTGTACCTATTTGCTAGTTCATCACCACTGAGCTTGCATTACATTCAATACAAGAGGGTTTTTTTTTTTTCCTCTGAGATTTCTTCCCTTTCTGCTTAGTTGTTCATTGTTAACCCATATTTATATAATGTTAAGTCTTCAAGACAGAATACAAGATTAAGATAAACTTCATTTGATTTCCTGCTTTCATCAGTGGGATTATTTGCCCAAGAAAGATGCCTGTTCAAAATAATGTCTGATCTCTGTCTGTTGATTGTTGAGCTTTCTTTGTTTGAAAACTGTAATGTTTCTAGGAATTTAGCCTAACACCAACATGTGAGAGGGCTGGAAGTCTGCTCAGGCCTGTTACTGATATCTGCTGGAGCAGAAGCTTCACCTTTTATTTGTATAGACTGTGTTTTACGTACTAAACCAATTTTTCTGCAATGTTCTTCCTCCTATACATAATGATACATAACATTTATCTTAGGAAAATACTTCCTTGTTCTCTAACAGTCATTTGCAGTTGAGGATGGTGGTGTTGCTTGTATTTCTGCAGTATGCCCCATTTGCAGTAGTAAACACGACCTAAACCTTTTTCTTTACCACATCAAATGTAAGTCACATAGAATGGGAGTGGCAAATGCCAAACTATCTGTAGTTTTAAACTCGGGCAATTATTGTGTGAATTATAGCAGGCTGCAAATCAAGTTGTCTGCAACCAAACATTAAGAACTTGGAGCTGTTTGTAATTTTTTACTTGTGCCGGTTGTTTATGCTACTTACAGAAAATGAAATCTTTGCCAGTGTGGTAGCATGCATTTGTCTGCACAAACATACTGAAAAATCTTTTTGGTTGTCATTTAATTCTGTAAGATTATATCATGTGAAAATGGAACAGCGACAAATTCCAGTGAAAAAATTGCCTTTTTGTTTTCAGATCCAAGGTGTGAGTGTATAGAAATATGTCAATACATTATATGTGTGTATATATATATATAGAGTCCTTTAAATTTGAAGAGCATTTGAAATTTAAAAAAAAAAAAAATCTGTTCAGAAGATATTTTTTTGTTTTACTTTCATTCTTATAAAAATGCTAGGACAAGGTGAATGCCTTCAGTTGATAGTGCAAAGATACAGCATGTTTTAGGACTCGGAGCAGATGTCCTCCTACTCTGCAGTATGTGGTATGTGTGCTGTTCTTTCAGCTGAATTTGGAACATGCCCAATGGTTTATGGACTTCCAGAGATCCTGAAAAAGTACACTTCTTGCTTGTCAGTAGTGGCTAACCCATGGAAAACTGGCTAAAACATGGGGAGACTTACCAGCCCTCTGGAGAGGCAGTTCCCTGCACCAGAACAGACATCTCTTGACTGAACAGATAGAATGGGTCATGCACAGCTGTGTAACAACAAGCTCTAGACACTGTTCAGCACAGAAGTGTGTTTTTAATACATGTGGCAGGCAGTAAGAGCAGCGCGATGGCTGGCACGCAGCACAGCCTTAGTCCAAGTGCTAGCCCCTCTCCCAAGGGGATCCTTGCATTGGGGTTGGAAGTGGAGGTCGCTCTTCCCTTTGGGCGGCTTTCCTAGAGAACAGTGCAGAGAAGTGCTGGAACTTCAGATGAGCATCACAATGATACAGATCAGCAAGAGGCAAATTAAGATCAGGCAGAAATTCACAAAGAGCTCCTGGAGCCTTTGGCGTGCTTGTGGGTTGACCTCAATAGTTGAGGCTCTCCTCAGAGCAGAGCGGGTTATGTATTGGACCTTCTCCATGGCAGCAAGAAAGCAGAGGGCACAAATCAGAGGTTTTAGAAGTGCAGGATAGGAGTGGAGTTGTCAGGAACAGTGAAAAGTGCCTGTTATCTTCTCTTTTTGTTTAGACAGCCTTTGTGGAGCTGGGAAAGCAGGAAAGTGAAGAGTTAGAAATGCAGAAGTAAAGTGCTTTGATAAGTGCAGATGGAGATTGTTTTAAGGTTCTGAGAAACTTGAAGTAAATGAGTTGTTTTCATGAGGGCTTTAGTTTAAAATGATGTTTTTGAAATGTTGTTTTCCAAGTTCATGTTTGTGCTGCATTACATTTCTCCTCCCAGGGGCTACTGAGCACCTGCTTCTTGGCAGGGGTTGAAGACCGTAAAATGGAAATTGTGGAAATGTGGGACTTACCAGGTCCTGCCTTTTTAGATCCTTATCTTTCCATCCTTTGTGGTCTGTGAAAAGACTGAGGTTTTTTTCCGCCCTTCTCCCCCCATTACTACTAATTCAAGCACACCTGAAGTCTTGTGTTAGGGCTGAAGGCCAGGATGCCTGGCTGTGGTTGCTCATGATCTGTATAGATCATCAGACTTGCTAGAGCCTTGTTTTGGAAGGGAGGAGAATGAATCTTTATTCATTGCTATTCCAAATGAAAAATACTTTATGGTGTGTAGTTAAAAGCTATACATCATTGATACAAGGAATTTTAGTAGTATATTTTTCACTACACAGAATAGGATAAGGACTAAAATATTTAGGTACACAGGCTGCTATGGGAGCAAGATAAAGCAAGTGTATTACTTTGTTTCCTGCTTGAAATAAAACATGCACTCCTGTATCTTCTCCCTTTTGATGGCACATAGAAGTACAGGGTGTTGGTTCTCTTAGAACTCCCAGTGGATTATAAAAGCCCTACTGTGTGAATCTTCTGTGTTGATGGGCTGTGTGCTTGCTTAGCTCATGGCAAAGGGTAGGTGCTATAGCAATGCAAAAAATTAGTACTTAATTTGATGATGCTAAAATGTCTCAAATGTTGTTCTGAAAGCTGAACTTGCCCCCTGGTGGTTTATGAGTATATATTGCAATAATATCTTTAACACAAGGCCTCTCCTTATCTTGTCTGGTGTGTTTTTGTGTTGTTTTGTTTGTTTGTTTTCTCTCCAGTTAATTATACAGTACCTGCCTTCCTCTCTTTCATACATGTCAGGTAAAGGTAAACACTTGCTTAGGTATCTGCTGCATGAATTATAGGACGTTTTGACTGACCCAGAGATGTTTTGTCACCCATGAATTTGTCTTCAGGTATGTCGGTATGTCTAAAATGGAAGAACCTTAAAATGAAACAAAAGCATTTTTCAGGCTCTTTTTAAACTTTCCATGTGGGTCTCTAAAGTTAGATGGCATTATATCAGCAGAATACATGTGTTTTCAATACCAATGGCAGCACCGGTATGTACAAAAAAAAAAAAAAAAAAAAAAAGGCTTCTGAAAGGAAGCACATTATGCGTGGATTTTTTTAATATACTTTTAGGTGATTCCATGTGATGGTATCTCCAAAATCTGAACTTTAGATTTTTTACGGTGACTTAAGCTCCTGTTGGTCTTAAAATCACTATGAACAAAGTGCACAGGACCTTAGTTCCTAGCACTGTTTTTCAACTTTGTCGAATGCTGTACCTGTTCTCATCCATCTAAATAGTGAAGGTGCTCAAAAGGCATAGTGCGCTGAGCTCTTCACTGGCTTCTGCCTGTTCCCAGGGCAGTAATTCCCTGTACACAATGAGCCCATTTCTGTGGGCTTAGATGTTCTGCTCACTTGCAGACACCTGTACATTATGATGCTGAGTTCATTTTCAGGGGCAGTGACTGAAGACTTTAAAGTACTGCTCTAAAGTATGGGCTGGGCATCACAGGTGGGAAACCATCACCAGTTCAGGGAAACAGAGAAATCTCAGGGAGGACAAAACATCAGTACACAGCCAGTCACTGTGCCAGAGTACCAGACAAGTGATACAAAAGGATTTAAAAAAAAAAAAAAAAGAAAAAGAAAAGTAGAGTATATTAGAGCATATACCCCTTATTGCTAGAAAAGTACATAGAAAATGGATGAAGAGAGGTCAGATTACAATAACAGATTGTGTAGGTTTGGAAAGTTTTAAAACACCTGCATGCTGCTTTCTCTACTTAGCCTGCCTGTGGGAGAAGTTCTCTTGTAAGCAAAGGGAACACATGCTGCTTAACAAAGTTTTTCTTTACAAGTGCATAGTTTCAAGCAGTAAACACATACCTTACTTGTTAATCTTCCATGACGCTGTCACCACCTGAAGTGTGCATAAAGAGAAACAGTCAGTAATACAGCTGCAGCTGGGTAGCTAACAAGGTCAAAAAGGGCAGCCTGACAATTACACTAAAACAAAGGCAATCATTGCACAGATAATAGTTTTCTCTGTTGTTTGCCTGCTGTCCTTGCTTTAGGTCAATATGAAGTATTGCGCATGCACAAAAACACCTCTTGAAAGTGCAGCAAATAGTGAGATTTATTCAGCTTTGAAGCCAAACTGCATAGCCTTTGGGTGCAACAAGCCCAGAAGGGAAGCTGTTGTTTGCATTGGTGTACAGTTGTGTTTAATGCAGGGCTCTTAATGGGTCTGTCTCGTGCCCAGGGCAGCTCTGCAGGAAGACATGTCATGGTTAACCCCATGTTGCTGTGTGGGGTATCCCCTACACTTGGGGCCCTAGGGTGAGTCACCAGTTACAATTACTGCCTCCCTCTTCACTGACATTTGACTGTTCCCCTGATTTGTGTCAGGCTATTTTTGTCTATGTTTCTGGATGTCCTTCACCATGAGAGGAGACCTGTGACCAAAGTAAAAACTGTGGCCACGCTCGTTCCTGGTGCAACTGTGTTGACTCCATTGAAGTCACACAGGATAAATTTGGCTCCTTTGGAAATGCCACAGCAATTTTAGACACAGCCTGTTTCCTGTCATATGTTTACTAAATGCAGTGGTGATATCAGTGGAATGGGTTTGACATATTTGATTTGTTACTGCCCTGTACAAGCAAGCTAAGCCCTGAAAAGGTATTGTTAACAACTCCTATTGTGCAGTAGCTCACTACATAGATTTTTACAATTAGATTTAAAAAGCAAACAAAAACAAAACAAACAAAACAAAAACAACCCAGCAGCAGTGGTCTGGTTTCATAAGTTTCTTGCTAATCATAAGGATAGCAATGCAAAAAAGCACCTTTAAATTCTGTGATCCTTGCTCTACATGTTGAGAACTGTTCCAAACTCTAGAACTGTACCTAGTGTAAGAAATTCCTCTGTACATTTGTGTGAACAGTGTGGTGTTCCTGGATACGTTCTCTGCACACTCAGAGAAGAAGCATTTAAAGATGTGTGTACAGTGCCAAAGTGGAAAAGAAAAGCTGTGAATTGTTGACTGTGGTGTCTTTTGTCCTGATTGTCCATGGATTGTAAGGACCCCGGCAGAAGAAGTGCTACAGGGAGTTACAGCTCTGCCTGCACAGTGCGCCTGCAGTTGATGTGTAGGCATGCTTGTCATCTCTGCTGGCTTCCTGTGTTAATGTATAGATATTATTCCCAATTGCATTGCTTTGTTTTGAACTTGGCTGTAAAACACCTTCTCACTGATGTGTGGTGCCATTTCACTTGGAACTTCCCAAGTCTGAAAATTCTCCTCTTCTGAGTGAGCAAGTTGAGAACTGATAAGGAATCAGTCTGAATTGGCTTGAGAGAATTCTAGCAGGTGTCTGCTCTCAATTCAACGAATAAAGGCTTCCACTGATAAAAACAGAAGCTGCTTACAGGTTTTCAACCACAGAAGTGATCTGTAGAGGTATGTTACAATTTGTTTTCTTGTAAAAAGAATGAAATGGCCTGAAGGCAACTTGCTGGGTTTTATGCCTTTAGCCGGGTGTGTGTTTACTCACACTAGGGGTGCAGGATGCTGTTTCCTTTTCTAGGCTGGGAGTTGCACTAGGCAGTTATACCAGTGAAAAACTGTGTCAGCCAACTCAACAGCTTGGCTGTGGGGGAAAAAAAAGCTAATAAAAAAAAAAAATTGAAGAAAATATAAGGGGAAAGAGAGCTGGCAATCAAAAAAGACTGGGGTAGATGAAGGCAAGAATGAGAAAATGGTGCAGGTGAAGACAAACTGAGGGAGAAAGTAGGAAAAAAAAAAATGAGCAAAGGAAGAGTGTGGGAGTGTGGAAAAAGAGCAAGAGCATGAGGGGAAACAGAAAATTGCAGCTGGAGTGCATTGTCAGTGAAGGGAGCCACGGACTGACTAGTAGGATATGGTTTTATTATTTTATTTTTTTAATTGCATGCAGAGAACGTTGTTTTTGAGATGGGGAAAAATAACAATTCAGCTCAGGTTTTGGGATGTGCGAAGCAACAGGAAAGCAAACTGTTTTTTCTGATTTAAAGTCTGTATTGTACTGAAGTGTCAATGCAAAAGGCTCACACTTTAAAAGTAACAGTTTAGATTCAGTTTTTCCTGTTTTACATTTTTCATTTTGAATAGTTTTGATGTTCTCCATGTTCTAGAAATGAGATCATGGGTTAGTAAGAGCCGTTAGCTATATTTCAAGGGTATTAGAAAGATAAAGGTATGGATATATTAAAAAAAAAAAAAGAAAAAAAAAAGAAAAAAAAAACCTATTAAATTCTTGACCATGCATAGCTTGGCTTTTTTTTGTTTGGTTTGTTTTTTGTTGTTGTTTGTTTGTTTTGGATGTTATCCATGTACTTTGTGGCTAACTGTGACTTCTGTCTATTAAAGCAGCCTGGAAGCTGCTGTCTTTGGCTCAATTTTAACTCTAGGCTAGATTTCCTGCAAGTGCTGCAGAACGATGCGGTGGGGTCTTGGGCAGGTACCTCACTGCAAACTCATCTGTTACTTCATTAAAATAGGATGTATGATGCCATGTACTTTTTTCCAGCTGTTTATATTTTTTACTTTTTTATAGAAAAGCTCCTTCTGGGAGATGGCTCCTTTCTCTACTGTATGCCCTGAGGATTTAACACCTTGTAGTTTCAAGTTAGGTTTTAGGTTCTGGTGATTCTGATGTTACTTATTAATAAATAGGATAGGTGCAGTGTGGACCAAAGTGAGTGAATGTGAACTGAATTGCATCTAACATGTATTAAAAAGCATGCAAGTGGATGGGCATTCTGAAGGTTATTTCTTATTTTAACGTTTTTAGCAGCAGTGATGTGGCATGGATGGAAAACAGCAGTAGATAAGTAAGGTCCTGAGAAGTAACTGGATACCAGGAAAGTCCTCATAAGCCATGTATTGATCTCTGGAAAGCAAAAGTGATCTTCTAGTTCTAAACTATCTGTCTCATAATCTACGGAACATGACATTACTTTCCTGCAGGGTTTTGGTTTCTCAGTTGAGATGCTTTTCTACTGCTAATTCAAGTTAGTGCTACAGTGTGTAAAAAATTATGTGTCTTCCCATGTAGGTGTATCTCAGACATTCTTGTTTGCTGAAAACTTCAATCAGAATCACCTTTATGGTGATATGAGCCTTTATGGTGTCTAATTAGGAATCAATGTTAGTTTTGTGCTGCACAATGAAGATGCTACATCCTTAACCTTCTTGAAGGATGAGAAATTTAAATACCATTTTTTTTTAAGTAGACGTAAATCAGAATCTCTGGAAATGCCAATTCAGTTGTCTCTGCTTGATAGGAAATATACAAACTTTTTTTTTTTTTTTTTTTTTTTCCATTTGGAAACACATTTTAAGTGACCTCAGTGCTAAAAATTGTTTTTCAGAATATTCCTCCTTGTCATAGGTGTTGACTTTGAAGGCAGCATGGGTTTGAATGCTGCTTCTACCTGCTGGGAACAGCTCCTAGAGAGCTTCCTAACAAGCTGCCTCCCTGAAGAGCTACAGAGCATCCAGCCTTCATGAACCAGAACAGGGTGCTGAGCACAAAGCCAGCTGCTCTTGGGTGTCCTTACCTGGTGCTTACCAGTAAAAGGAAAAGGAGCCAGGTGCCTCACAACATCAATTTGTCCCTTTCCTAAATCAAAACTTGAACAATACCTAAGTAGAAAAGTGAGCATCAATGGAGAACAGAACAGTAGCTCTAAGGAGAAATTTGTTGAGAATAAATCTTACTCCTTCTAGCAATATTCATATATGTTGGGTTCTTGTTTTTGTTTTTTGTTTGGTTGTTGTTGTTGTTGTTTTTAATATAAATATCCTTTGTGGTGTGTTCCTGCTTGAGATGTGCTCCTTGTTGCTTGCTTAGGCTGTATTTTTGTTGTGTAGTGTATGCACTCTTCCCTCAGGGTTAAACGGATTACTTTCTGCATTAGAAATAAATTTTGCGATGTTTTACAAATCCTGGTTACTTTTTTATTTGTTACTAGAATATTCTAGTTTGGCAGTTACAGTGACCAAAAAGAAAAAAGAAACCTTTCAAAGGAATTCGCAGCAGTAACGTTGTATGCATACATTTGTTTAAGTGTCAAATAATACGATACAATTCCAGTTCTAGCGCTGCTATAAACCAGTTCACATTTGCAATGAAGGATGGTACTTTATCACACAGCAGACAAAGTTTTTATTGCTCGGTGTCACATCAGCAAAGCATTCCTCTGTGAGCTCAGTAACGGAGGAGCTTTGCCTTTGTGGGGCTGAGGCACACAGCTGGGCAGTGCCTGCGAAACTGAGTTACTCTATGTAGATTTTATATTTGAAACAAACCAAACCAAATAGATTAAGAGGAGGAATAAAGGTTGAAGGAAGATGATGATGAAAGTTTCTCACTGCTGCTGTGACAGTGATGCCCAGGGATAGTTAGTGTCTCACCAGCATGTAGAAAAACCTCATCTGTCCCTTAAAATACAGCACTGCATAAGTGACTCAGAGCAGATTTGCCTAATTTTCCCTACTTTTAGTGAACATTTAGAACTGGCTGTTAATTTGAATAGAGGAGTTTATGTATAAAACTGCAGCTACAGTGCCTTGCTGTGAGGGTTAAAAGCATCAAATAGAGGGTGCTTACCTCTGCTGCAGGCTGTTGGAGTGTGGTGGCAGCTGCCTGTGGTCTCTGGTAGCCTGTCTGAGTCCGTGACCAAGTGCTGGGAACAATTGAAGGAGGCTGAGGGGAAAAATAACAAAAGTTACAGAGGCAGGACTCCTGGTGTCATTCAGCGATGCAGAAGTTGTGATTGGCCTCAGCCCTGCCTTCTGAAGCCTGCAGTTCTCATCTCCACTTGTTGGCAGCGGGACGTGCTCAGTCCTGGCTGCTCCTCTGACCATGTGGGGCTCAGGGAACTGCGGCCAGGGCACAAGGGAGGGGGTGAGCTGTTTGCTGTGGCCTTTTTTATGTTTACTTACATGAGAACTTAAATAGGAGTTGGTTTGGAGGGCTGTTCAGGCTATGCTACTTCAGCTGCAGCAGTGCAGTTTCTTGTTAATAAAATCCTAAAAATAAAACCTATACAGGATTTGGAACTAGAATGATGTTCTTTTGTACCACAGGTTTCTTGAACTGTACACTTTGTGTATATATAATTCAGCAATGTTGTTGTACAGCTGCTATATGATTTACAGTGTGATGTAAGTTCTGCAGTATCAGCTTTCTTCTGACAGTGCTTGAACTTAATTTTTTCTTTTTTTCATGCCTCTTCCACCCTCTTGAGTTAATGTGTGGGTTGCAAGGTATGGCATGTGGTGGTGTTTTTTTCCAAATAAAATCCATCTTGTATAAATTAATCGTCTGAATTAATCATTCCTATATAATTTGAAGTATTTTACCTTTCTTATGGGATACCATAGAGTCTATGTAGTGGCTGGAAACTGTGCCTATGATTTTGTGCCCTGTTTTCTGGGGAGAAGTGCAGCTAGATAAAGCACTGCAGGTTACCTTCTGCATCTTACCCTTGTCTGAGAAATGCCAAGTGGGGACACAGCACACACTGCATCCTGCACTTGTGAGGAGGTTTGTGCTGCCTGTTGCATGGGCCGCATTTAAGTAGTAGGATTCATGCATCCAGGAAATGCAGGATTTCCTGGGTGTGGAGGCACTGAACTGCTCTGTGAGAAAGTGCCCAGCATTGGGCTTCATGTGTAGTTGCTACAGGCAGTGTGAGCGTTATCCTCATTTGGAAATGGCAGGCAAAAATACAGAAGCTCAGCCTAACTCTAAACATTTAGATCCAGTTTTGGCAGTTGTTGCTTAGCATAGATTAATGTCTGGCTTTGAACAAGAAACCAGACGTGATAGGCTGACTGTTTTTTGCTTGGTTTATTGTTTAATTTGTTTTCTAATTCCCTCTAAGCCATGCTGTGATGCCTGCTGCAAACCAGAGGCAAAAAATGCTTGAAGACTTTGAAGGTGATGATTAGCTCTCTTATGCTTTTCTTGGCTATATTACAATTAAAGTTAGAAACTGAGCTTTTGTATTATAAATGTGACTGCTTTCTGTTATCCTTTAATAAATCCAGGAAATCCAGGGTCACTTGTTTCAATTGAAAGTTAATTGAGTGTCTCCACAGTGATAGTTGTTCACCAGTGCAGAGTGTTTCATAACTTACTTATAATGGCATTATTAACATAAATCTATAACAGTCGGGCAAACTGCATTTGACCTTTTTGTGAGGGGAGTTTCATGTTATCGCTTGCTATCATCCAGCAAAAGTACTGCTGTCTTTGCAAGATGTAATATGAAACTTGTACAAGTGTTACTATTGAAATTCACATCTTCCATTTGTTATTAGAGTCCTGCACCCAGCACTGCGGTGACTGATGTCAATTTCTCCCTTTTACTGAGTCATCCTAAAATCATAGCAATACTCTTCCCTTGATTTTTGCCTTTTTGTGTTGGTGAATTGCTTGTAATCAGCATTCCAGAGCTTTTTTTAACGTGACATGCCCCTAAAGAATGCTCTTTTTTTGTTACTGAGCCACTGACAGGTTAGGATATGCAATCATAGCTTAGTCTTCTTTTTAAAGAATGGTATTTAGAAGTGAAAGATAGGGCATTAATGCAACTGGTAATACCTCATCCGAAATGTAATGCATGCCTTCTAGATATGTTTAACTCAGATAAGAAATGCTGCATTTAAATAAGATTGGAAATGCATTTGGTAAATAACAGTAAAATTCCCCAGCGCAGATCTTGCGAATGCTTTGGATTTGTATTGGTGTTTCCCTGGCAAGAGGCTTGGTAGGATACGATCTCTCCAGAAACCTGTCCATTGGTTTGGTGTTACACACTGGTGAGGCTTGCGAGGACCTGTGTGAAGCAGCTTGCTGCTCAGGGACCAGGCAGAAGGACCACGTGTGTGAGGGCGTCTGCATGCTCTTCAGTTTCCTCCTTGGTAGCCTGAGTCTGAGCACCCACGGAGTCCAGAAGGGAACAGCTTTTAAAAAAAGAATTTGTGTTGGAGGTTTTGGTCTGCTTTATTTTGTTCTGGGGAACAAAAATGTGCAGCTGTTGCTTGCTTGACCTTAAATGGAGATGATCTGGGCTTTCTCCAGTGGGATTAGAGATCTGCCACCAGAGCATGTTTCTTCTCATAAATTTATTTGGAGATCCGGTTGATGTTTGGGATAATGTCCAAAAAAGACATTGTTATATTCCAGCATACCAGCTCCTCCATTTAAGTAATAGTGAAACTTGTATTCATAACGGTGATTTCCTATGCCTTTTTTTTTGTTTGTTTGTTTTCATATACTGGTTTTGCAAATTTCAACTGTATAAGCATTGCTAACTGAATAATCTGTGTGCAGAGTTTGAGCTGTCAGTGTTTGACTTTTTGGTAAGCCATGACGCTGCATAGAAGTGAACCATAACCCAAGCTTCATTATTTATAAAAGCAAAGAAATTCAGCTATCAGTCTGACTACTCAGGTTATTGCCCTATTCCGTAGCACTGCTCTAGTTTTCTCTCATACCAAAGAAGAGTACATTAATGATATCATACAGCCTTGTGTTGTGTGTTTGGTTATAAAGCAACTAAAAGGGAAGGGAGAAGTGCCTGCTCCCACAGGTGTGCACTGGATTGCAGGAGGAACAGAGTGGCGGGTAGCAATGTGAAAGTTGAACCTGGGAATTAAATCTTTCCTGTTGTAACCAGCAATTTTTGACCTGATTCTGAGGTGCAGTTCATACCCACTGCCCTGGGGAGCCTCTGCCAGTACCTGACCACTCTCTGGTGAAGAGACTTTTCCTAACACCCTATTTGACTCTCCCTGACACTGCTCCATGCGGTTCCCTTGGGTCAACACTGTCCCTCTTCTCCCTGTGAGGACCTGCAGGCCACCATGAGGTCTTCCCTCAGCCTCCTCCACTCCGGGCTGAACCGGAGCTCAGCTCAGCACCTCCTTATACAGCAGAGATTCACATCTTTATAGCCGTCCTTTGGAAACTAATAGATTTGTGTTTTTATATCGTAGTGTCTGAAATCTCACACAGTTGTTGAGGTGAGGATACACCAGTGTATAGTATCATCGGGTCCCTTCAGGTCTCCTCTTAGAACAACTCAAAGCTGCTTACTGGCATTTTTAGGCTGTAAGGTGCTGTGATCTGCAGCTGCTTCAGGGAAGGTCAGGTTGGGGCTTAAGAAATGGTTCTACACTGGAGGTGATCAAGCTTGGGAACAAGCTCCCCTGGGCAGTGGTCACAGCACCAAGCTCCTGGAGTTCAAACAGCATTACCAGTATTTTCAAATGCTCAATGATCCTTGTGCGCCTCTTCTAACTTGGGATATATTATAATTGTAGTTCTTGCAACATGGGAAGAAATCCAGGCATCAGCAAATATGGCTTGTGAGGTGATTTTTTTATGATCTCCGGTAAGGGAAAGGCATCTTTCAGTTATATTGTATTGCATGTATCCTTCAGTAATGTTTGTATTGCAGACTGAGTTCAACTTGAGGGCAGTTCTTTTCTTCTATTAAAAAATATAGGCAAAGCGCTATTTTCAACTATTGTGAACAGCAGTTCAGATTTACAGCAGGTGGGAAGATGGCCTGATCAATTTAGAGATGCTCACATTGCTCACGACTTTGAGTTCTCTTGCTTGAATTTGATAGATTTATGACCCAAATGTTTCTTTTCTGCCTGATGCTTCCTTTAACACTTACTTAAGTGATTCTCACCTGGATCTGGAATATGGCTAGATTCTGACAGTCGTTTATCAATGTTTTCTGGATGTATGGGGACAAACTTGTCTTTTTGAGACTGCAGATTTTCCTCCTCCTATCGTGATGCTCACAGCTTCTTTTAGCATTGTAGAGAACAGCTCTGCTGAAAAATTTATCCTTGTTATTTTGTTTATCTCCTCTGGGAGAAGTAGCATTTTCTTCTGCTAAGCATTGGACGATCGTTAAGTAGTCTGTTCTTCACATTTTGTTCTTCGTTATAAACAGCAAGAACTAACTTTTGAATCTGCAGCTTTTGAAGTATAACACTGTGAAGTGATTAACGAACCTGTGTGAACAGAAAACTACGACTTGAGATGAAATACTTCTCATTTTGGGAATGCTGAAGGCTCTGGCAGGGCTAGTTGCCTGATTTACTAATAACCAGAGACATTTTTGGAAAAGTCAGCTTGAAAGTTCTCAGTCTAGTCAGTGTTACTGGCATGAACTTTTAACTATTAATGCAGATCACAGAACTCACAAGTGTGTCACACCAGTTTATTCTCTTTGGTGCTTTGGCCTGGGATTAGGAGAAAAGCAGGGGAACAAGAAATTTTGCCTGGCTCTGAAAACTGACAGTAGCCTCCCATACCCCTGCAGAGAACTCTTGTTTGCCTTGGACACAATGGAACTAGAACAGACTTGACTTCTTCTATTTTACAGCAAAATATTGATGGCACAAAAAGCCTGCTCTTTCAAATACTTGATTACTTATATATCAGTGAAAATAGATTAATGAAGGTCAAAATAATTTGTGATTTGAATAGTAGCAGTTAATTACAGTAGTGCAAAGTGCCTTCAAAATGACGTGATACAGAATAGGACATTTATGATCATCATTAGGGTGGAAAGTTTTTCCTTTTTATAAACTGCTTGTGGGAATTGCCTTTGGTGTTTACAGGTGTCCTCAGTTGACTAAGCTGAATAATGTGTTTTAGGTGGTATGCAGAGATCCTTATACCTAAGAAACTGTGTTGAGTGTCTTTGAGATAAATTGTTCTAGCAAGCACAGATACTAGCTGTGTTATTTGACATGTTATGAGTGATGGATGAATAGCGGGACAAAGGCAT